GAGTTAATAAGAGTAATATGTCACAAGGTATTTGAGAAATTGTACTTTAGCTTCATATATTTTCTTATCTCCATATATGTTGAAAACAACCACAAGACAACTGCTATTTTTTTTTTTTTTTGAAGATTTTATTTATTTATTCATGAGAGACAGAGCGAGAGAGAGAGAGAGGCAGAGGGAGAAGCAGGCTCCCAAGGAGCAGGGAGCCCGATGCGGGACTCGATCCCAGGACACTGGGATCATGACCTGAGCCGAAGGCAGACGCTTAACCATCTGAGCCACCCAGGCGCCCCAAGACAACTGCTATTAAACATACTTATTACCATTTCAGGTTTTCATACACACTTTAATATGTACGTATTAAAATATTACAGGAACTACTATCATCACCTGATGGTGGTAGAGACTGCTTACTTGAAAATATTAACTTCATACATATCAAAACGCATCATCCTCAAATGAACTGCAAAACGCCTGAAGTATGTTAAAGAGATAAAGACAGAGTTTTCATACTTTACAGCCTTATAAAGAGTTGCTAGCCAGCACAAAGATAACGGATTTATTTTACAATGAAAATGTGTTTTGAGAGTTTGGAAGGCTAGTATGCTATGTAGGGCACTTTCCAAAACACTGAAGAGATGCTTTGGGTAAAAAGTAAGAAATGTATAAAACACAACTATCAGAAAGATTTTTTAAAAAAAGAGTATTAGACAATCATCCTTTAAAAAAAAGACTTTTAATATCAATTTCTTCTATCCAACCAAACTGACATGACTCAGGTATTTTTAAATATTTTAGAAACACTTCCTCAAAAATTTCCAAGACAGTAGCTTTCAGATGTTCCCTCAATACCTGGGTTGCTCAGATGAAGTAAATCTTATGAGAACTCACCACCAACCACAACCGTTTTCACACATACGGTTACTCTTCTTACCACCTTGAGCTTAGAAGTAGGCAGTCCTCCACAAATGTTCACTGAACTCAGCTACTGAAATTATAACAGCTAAAATATCAACATATCAATAACTCAACAGGCCTTTGGAAGGCTGTGGGAAATCAAAACACTGTCAGTTTATACAAGTATTCATAAACACATGAAAATGTTCTAGTTTATCCTAAATGCCTCAGCCCTTTTGAATGCTATACAAAGAAGTAATTAAAAGGATAAACTTCCTGAGTAGTTCCATAAAATATGAATAATATTTAAAAATGAAAAGCAGTCTGAAAAGAGGCAAGCTAAACATTAGCTATACTGTCTTATTATATGGCATAGAGTAATTTAGTAATTAATAGTCCCACATAACTGTTTTATTCAGGTTCTGTTGTCAGGCCTGCTTTTTAAAATTAAGTCACTAAGGAGAAAACGTTTTCAGTTTGTAGTTATATTTAAATCATCAATTTGACTTCTACCTTTTAAAGTCTATTAATTTAACAAAGATAGCCAAAAGTTGATATTTGAGGAAAAGATTTTTGGTGCAGGGTATGAACAATGAAAGATCATTAAAAAGGCGTGTAACGAAAGCGTTTTCCATAAAAACAAAGACACCTCAAGCAGGTCCACTTATACCTCTAGTTTAGGTGAGAAACGAGGTCAATCTTAAAAAAAATCATATAATTTTAAACTTTGCACTAAGTCAGTTTGGCCTTTTTTCCCCCCAAGAATCAGGTTTTAGTGTACCTGAAGGAAATTAACTATATTGAAAAGATACTGGCTTCCAACAATATACAGGCATATTGATATATGGTATCAATATATTGACATATAATCTAGTAGAGGAGTAACAACGGCCACTGATGCTAAGTGATAATTAAGTGTCATCACTCAAACTATTTCTAGGAGAAAAACTTGGTTGCCCCTTTCCTTAAACGAGGATACAATTTTCCTTGAAAACAAGATACAAAATTATAAATTCTGAAAGGTCCTATTTGTTAACCTCCTAAAAATAAGCAGTCACCTTTTAAGTATAAAGAGCTAAATATAACCCTTCCTTGTCTAAAAGTCACACTGTTCACCTGTAATCTAGTGCTTCCTTTATCTTCCAGAATCTCTGGAGATTTAACGTATCCTGAGAGGACCAACCAACAATGGTAATTTAAGCCAAGTAGAAACGTTTATGAAAATTCAGCACTGTTACTGAGGAAACATGCCGCTGAAGTATGGGGGTATAAAAAGAGCTTAGTTCCAAAGGAAAATCTATCAGTACAAAGGCAGCGGTCTCTTACGTTCACATGGCACCATGCGGATTAGTGATCACTGTTTCCTCTGAAATGAGATTTTTGACTCCAGCATTTATATATGTGTTATTTATACTTTACAGTGTAATGTGGCTAAATTAACTCACCGGTATATAAAAAATAAAAAGGGATGAAAAATCTGAATTGTATTAAATACATTTAAAGTAAAATAATGTGAAATGTCAAGGTAAGCTCTAGTACTAAAAAAAATGTACCTCTACATAGACTCTAGAGCATCAGTTCTCAACCTCTTTTCTGACATGATAAATCCATGGCATATTCCAATGAATAAACCCATATTCTGACCTAGTTTTTCAAAAACTGGAAGGAAAATAAAGTATCACAGAAACCGAGACGGGACATAAACCTTAGGGGCGGATTCGGATTATTCCGCATGCTGGGTTATGGCGGAGGGTGCTGGTGTAGATGACACCTGCCCACCAGCTCCAGCTCCACACCTCATTCTCTCACGCAAGAATACTTATCAGAGCCCAAGTGAGTCAGTAACAATGGAATGCTAACCTGAAATTTTCTCTAATTCGTCTTAAAAAGTAAATCAATCGCAAACAAAACACACATGCTTTGTATGAATAACAATGAATTTGTGACACTTCACAAAAAAACAGGAAAGTATTATTGTGTGTCAGTTACCTGTTAACAATCACTGTTCTATAGAATGTTATTGAGGCTTTAGAAAATAGAACCGTGTTCCTTAGAGCCCGGGACTTCTATAAGGAATTTAAAACCTGCAGTTGAGACCTTTATTAAGTTGATAATGAAGAAACTAATTCCGTTTATAGAAACTGGCGATCTTGGACATCGTCCAATTCTCTGCCGGAAGCCTCTGCTGATCCCTCTCCGGTTTGTAAAATATATACCAACCATGGCTCTTTGAGATTACAAATAATCAGACAAGGTGTGTCACCGAAGAGCCAGATCTCACGGCTGATGTGAAGAGTTGGAAGACTGGCTTGCATAGAGGACAGACTGAAGGCATCAGGAGAGCTGTAGCTCACAGTGAAGTAAATGCTGATAGAAACAAACTGCTGAAGGTACCAGAACGCCAGACGAGGACAAACCGCCGATGCACTACAACGGTCAACACCAGGGCCCTGCCAGCTAAACCCCTTTCTCTGAGTTTTCAATTGGCTTGCAGGTTTATCCTAGGAAAAGATTATATGATTATATGATGTAAGTCAAAGAGGAACCAATTTTATTTTACTGTTATATAACAGAGACTGGCAAATTTTTTTTAAATAAAGGGCTGGACTGTAAATATTTTAAGTTTTGCTAGTCACATGACCTGATCTTGGTTTCTGATATATATTTTTTTATGACTCTTTAAAAATGTAAAGATTATTTTTCGCATGCTAGCCATATAACATCGGGTGCTTGCTGAATGAGGCCATAGCTTGTAGTCCCCCTTGATATAGAGGAAAAGCAATGCTCAACTACTAACTCTCCTCTTTTTTTCAACTTTAAATAATTTCAGATAGAATAGGAATTAGAGGTTCAAAGGACTGTAAGGATGAGTGATCTAACTTTCCAAATGGGGAGCTCAAGGCTCAGGGGCCCCGAGTGACCTGCTTGTAGCAGAGAGACCAAACACTTGTCTCTCTTTTACCTTCCATTTTCGGAATACACTCAAATTTGAGGACTCCCTTTAAAATGAAGTATACTAGAGCTTTACTATATTCACAGCTTAAAGTATTTGCTTTACCAGATACTTTTTTTCACATTCTTTTCTCATGTTCAAGAAATTCACACTCAGAACCAAGAAAAACTTACAATACTTTTAAACTAGTATTGAGATAGCATGGGGCTTGAGGAGGCTTAAAATTCTGTCCCCTAAACTCAGTAAACTGGACAGGATGGCTTCTGAGGAGAAGCCTGAATAGGGCTGCTGGGTAGAAGTGACCAGTTATATGACATTAATATTCAAAACAAATAGACTTTGCTCCTTTCTCATTAAGTCCCTCTAGAACACACTGGGCTACCAAGCAAACACTTCACAGAAATGAGTCTAACCCATCTATATTTTTTCCTCTTACAGAAATATGGAATTAGGACTAGCATTTTAATGCCACTTCTCAGAGTTAATTAAAAACATTTTTTTTTCTTATTCTTTGTACCGGAGTTTCTAGTTGTTTCCCACAGCATTTCTGATTAAAATCTGCTTTTATTATCAATGAAAAGATTCTCTAAACCAAAACAGATATAGTCAGATATTCAAAATGAACCTTCCCTAAATTTAGCACTTGAATTTTAAACTATTTCACCACCCTATATCAAAAAAGAAAAAAATCTTTCATGGGTCAATTCTCAATATAAAGTTTGAAATCCCTTGAATCTTTTAAAATACACTTATACAACAATTAAATTAATATTTAATTAATATTATTAGCCAATAATATTAATTAAAAATAATTAACATTTATAAAATATTATCACTGATAAACCATGTATCATCCAGGTTGTTTAAGAAATGCCATTACAGGGGCGCCTGGCTGGCTCAGTCGGTGGAGTGCGCGACTCTTGATCTTGCGGGGTTGAGTTCAAGCCCCATGTTGAGTGTAGAGATAACTTAAAAATAAAATCTTAAAAAAAAAAAAAAGAAAGACATGCCATCACATATCAGCTCCTAAAAGATCACAACTGCATCAAACATTGATTTGTGAAAATTTTCATTTTGTTTATTAAATTAATTTTTTTAAAGTAAACTCTACGCCCAACATGGGGTTCAAACTCATGACCCCAAGATCAAGAGTCACGTGCTCTACTGAATGAGAGAGCCAGATGCCCCTGAAAATTTTCATTTTAGATGTGAGGTCATGTGTTTTTGCCACATCATGTCCTCACTTTTCAGGTAAGAGGAACTTGACTCCCTTAAGACTAAAAATTAAGGATGCCCTTCTCCATCATTAAAAAAGATTAAAGAAAAAAATCATTACTTCTTAATGATCCATAAATGGCTCCTAGATCTTCCTTTTATTCTACTGTATTTAAAAACTCTTCTTCTTGAAGTTTCAGTTTAAAGTCCTCTTTGATTCTCTGTAGCAACTCTGGTTTAAAAATAACATCCAATGCAGTCATTGCCAGAGCTTTGGCGGTACGTAAAGTGTAGAACTGAGCTTCCTGTGATCCTAAAAGGTGGAGAAAATACATGAAGAAACCTCCATATTTATTATAAATTACTGTACTGTTTTCAGGTTAGCACTCGATACTAAACTGCCTCTCCAAATGCCCACCACAATACAGTATTTTCCGAGGTCATGTTAGATAATGAAATAACAACAGGCTAAACTACAAGGGCAGCTATTACCACAAAAAGAGAGCATATGCCAACACGTTCACTTCTAAGAACACTTACCTGCAGCTTCCGTATATTGTTCTGTATGATTCAAGGCATCAGATCCAATGTAAAAATATGGATGAATCCCAGGAACCACAAAAGTAACATTTCCAAAATCAGTAGATCCTTGGAAAGGCACAACAATCCATGAATTTCTAATTGCTAGTCCAATGAACACCAGACCATACTTATCCAATCTCTATAGCACCTGACATGATTTACCACTCCTTTCCTTCTAGAAATTCTCTACTCCTTTGGCTTCCATGACTTGACTCCTGATTGTCTGGCTTTCTGTCTCCTCTAAATGGCTTCCTTTGCCTGTCTCCTAAGTGCTGGTAATCCCTAGGGAGTCATCTTTGGGTTTCTTCTCTGTGTACTTGAGCGACCTCAAAAACTCCTGTGTTTTCAATCACCTTTCAGATATTGACATCTTCTATATCTCCAACCTAGACATCTTTTGGGGGCTCTGGATTCAATAGGCTACTGAATAGCTCCCCTTAAAAGTCCTATAAGCACCTTAAACTTAACATACTAATAATATATACCAACATACCATACCCCAACCTGCTTTCTCCTGAACTCCTTATCTCAATAAATGACATTAACACCCCATTTCTATGGCCAAGTCCTTTTGAGTCCACCTTGTCAACATCTATTATTATATTTTAGGAGAACACTCTAACATGCAAACATATTAGTAATGATGCTTTTAAAAGGAACAAACTCTAAAATAACCCTCAATACACTTATAACTATTTAAATTCTAATAGTTGCTTACTAAACAACTACTAGTAAACAACCATAATAGTCACACCTCAAAAACTGGAATGCCCCCTTATAACTTGCTAGCCTGTCTACTGATGACTGAGAAGGAATTAAAATTCTAGTTCTCCTTTAAGTAGCTTACTTAAAAATTAGAACTAAGCAAATTTAAACACTAGAAATATTTAGAATACAAAGGAAAAAGTATGCTGGCTATTTCTAAAAACAAATCTGCTCACTTAACAGTTTACATTCACTGAAGAGTTCATTAGTTTCTTTCCCCTAACCATTAAGTCTGTGAAAAATATTATCAAAAACAAGAGCAATACGCCCACCTCCAAAGCTGCTAAACAAAACCATTTAACCAAAGATGATATTTTCCTTCCCCAAACAGCACAATATAGTATATATGAAGGAACCTAATTACCTGAAGAGCCATTCAACATTGCATCTTCTGAAATAAATTCTATTCCGAGTTTTTTTCCGTTTTCAATATAAGCTTTCCAGAGGCTCTTATTGGGAAGAACATTGTAATAATCATGTGCTCCACCTTTAATTTCTACCTAATAAGAAATTATAAAACAAATTTTGAAATAAAAAACTCATTCACTATCTAATTTCTAACCAGCAAGAGGTTTAAGGGCACACTTTCCCTTCCAGATATAAACTCTCTCAAATATTTTACCTTTAAAAAATATGTATTTTTTATAATGAAACTTCCCTAGGACCCTATCACCTAATGTGATAATTGTACCAAACCACACAATGTCACCTTGCTCTACTGGCCAGTGAGTCTCAACTTTAACTTCAGTAGGGTACAGGGGGAGCCCAGGAATCTCCATTTAAACCAGCACCCCCAAGTAATTCTGATGCAGGTGGTCCAAAAACCAGACACTGAGGAACACTGCCCTAGGCTGTAGCCTCTAAAAGAAAAAATTAAGCTTTACTCATACCCAAAATATAAGCCAACACTGACACCACCACCTGGTCGGAAAGGTTTAAAGGTACCCGGAGAGAAAGATAGAAGGTTCCCAATGAAGAAGGGTTGACTACGGTCCTCACTTATTATTTATTTATGTATATTTTAAAAGTAATCTCTACATCCAACGTGGGGCTCGAACTCACAACCCCGAGATCAAGAGTTGCATGCTCTACCGACTGAGCCAGCCAGGCGCCCCTGGGTCCTCACTTATTAATTTCGGTATTTCAGTGCAGGAAGACTTACAAACAGTTTATAGGTGGCCAGTTAAGAGGATTTACAGATTTCATTTTGATTAAATCCAAATGGGTAACAGTTCCTCAAACTAAAGGTAATGCCAATAACACTAGTAAAAGCCAGTTATAAAATGGCACGGTGGACATTTCTTCTATTCTTAGCAACACCTAAGTTAGAAATAATGACCACCTGGTCATAGATTACAAATCAGCCAATATATAAAAAATATATTATAAAAATATAAATAATTATATTTAATATAATTTAAATATTAATTTATTATATTATTACATATAATTTATTATTTTATAATACATTAATTTAAATATTTAAGATATAACTTTTATATTATTATATAGAATTAAAAATAATTTTTTCCTCTCTGGACATTTATACTGCCCGAGAATCACTGCTACTGTGAGACACCGCTCACTCTCTGAGTAAGTCATACATCTCCAGTCTAATGAGAGCAGAAACAAGTAAGGGAGTAGGACGAGAGCAAGGCCCTAACTCTTAACAAATACCGCACTTAATTCTCACAAGAACCCAAAGATAGATTATCTCCATTTTTCAAGAGAAAATGGAGGCCTAAACATATGAAATAATAATAAGATAGTAATAATGTTTCCAAAAGCTACAAAATCAGTACCAATCCAGATCTTGACTCTCCAACTAGACTACGAGCTCCTCCCAGGGCAAGAATATGTAATTCTGAAGCTTCTCATTCTACTGTATGCCCTATATGATTGCTACATAGATGTCACTGATTTTATAGTTCAAATGAACAAACTTTCCAGCAAGCCGTAAGTATTTATACCATTACTGCACGTACCTATAACTTCACCAAAAATAGCTTTTGTTGATTTTGCCATAAAGTTCCCTTTATCAGAACTATGCTGAGTAATTCTGAAAACATAACTGCCAATAAGGAAGGTCATAACTTGCAAAAAAGCAGGGATTCTAGTTCAGTCCTATGAAGAGTTATTCCAAGAACAGTGTAGTAAGAGGACTGTAGTCCTTCCTATGTGGGCACTGAGTAAAATGAGTAAGAATTAAAGACCTTCGCATCACCTATTCAGTCGATTACATACTCAAAACACTGCCAAATGATAAAGGGGCAAGGTAGGTTCTAATCTAACTTAAAAAAAAAAGATTTATTTATTCATTTTAGAGAGAGAGAGCTCATGTGTGGGTGCACCTACGGGGTGGGGGAGGGGCAGAGAGAATCTCAAGCAGATGCTGTGCTGAATGCAGAGCCCCATGGAGCTCAACCTCACTCACGACCCTGAGATTATGACCTGAGCTGAAATCAAGAGTCTGCCGCTTAACCAACTGAGCCACCCAGGCGCCCCAGGTTCTAATCTAACTTGATAATATTCTAACTAAACAACCCAGCCCACATATATACTTCTGATTATAACTTAGATTAACTCTTAAAAGTTCTTACTGTACACCCAGTAGCCAAAGCTGCAGCTCTGAAGCAATCTTCTGCCTTTTTGGTCAAAACTGGAAGTTCTTTCATTGAGGGTGCACGGAAGTAATAGATTAATTCAGAATAAGAGGGAATGATATTGGGTTTTACACCACCACTTTTTATTATGCCTATAAAAAGAACCAAATTACTGAAATTGAGCTTGGAGACCATTTCTTTAGGTTAAAATACACCTATAAAGTTTTCAGCCGGTATGTACACGAAGAAAAACAATTTAAATTTACTAGCTTCACAGATATACCAATCAAAGATTTTGATGTGTTGTACAAAAGCTTCTACACATAGGGTAATACTTTCTAGCTAATAGGAAAAAAAAATTGTCTATATGTACTTTATTCTAAGGAATTTATATAATGTTAAGAAATTATGTTGCATGACTATAAAGAAACTGTTAAAAACTTTTATAATTATCCAGCCTTCCAAAAGAGACGTTTATTTCAGTAGGCTTCACTACAGTTGTACATTCTGAAAAACTTTTGACCTAAGCAGGAAAAAATGGCGTAAGGTTCTGTAATTACCCTCATACTTCCAGAATCCAATGAATATTTTAAATGGCATTTAAATTATGGGAACATAATTTTTATACCAGCAAGAAACCAATGCAGGTCAAAGATCACTAAGCACTATTAACTGTCAAAACAAATGCGTTTATTTGGAACTACACTGAGAAGGAAGATTTAGCCATTCAAAGTAATAACTAAAATAGATATACAAAATCTAAATTTATATGACTTGCTTTCAGAAATATTATTTCTACATATTTCTCTTTAAAAAAAACTAAGAAAATTGGTAAACGTGTCATTATAAACTAATTTCAGCCTGTAACAAAATCAGGTAAAGAACAGATATTAAAGTATAACAATATGCCATATCATGAGAAAATAAACTAAAAAATAAATTTGTACCTTTAAGATACTGTCGTTACATTAAGGTAACACACATAATTTATCGTTACATTAAGATGATACTGTCATTACATTAAGGTGATACGCATAACTTAAAAAGATGTTACTCAGGATTAACAGCACTTGAAAAAATAAAACCAGTAACCCTGTTTTTAAATTGAGGAAATGATTTGCTACCATTAAAAGACAGTGAGGATAACTGGAAAATGAAGATTCAACTTTCAAATACCCACAGAAACATGTATGTCCTTACATAAAACCATTATTTCTAATACTCAAAATGACCATTCCATTTACACATAAATTCTCTTAACTGTCTTCTTACCCAACATATACAAACATCCTAGTATTCTGTCACATGAATTTCTGAAAATGTTTAAAAAGTTTGGAATATTCACATGAAGTACATAAAATGTTTCCAATTTTTAAAACTCAAACACTAATTATCTTGCACTGAAATATATTAAGCACCGTCTATTACATAAAATATCTAACATTCGTACCATGAACTCTCCAGGTTGGTTTCATTTGCTGTCTCAACACGGACAGATTGTTGTAAGCCAGGACAGCAGCATCTAATGCATTTACTCCTTCCCAGGGATATGCAGCAGCATGAGATGCTTTTCCGTAGTATTTCACAGTCACGCTAGGAAATCAAACATCATTTGGAATTACTCTTTTCAAAATCACTAACGAAAATCCACGTACTGTAATTAGAATTACCCAACTAGTATTCAGAATTAATTCAGACTGCTGGAATTTTTATTCGCAAATCATTTGTAGAAATAACGTAACAATTTATGTACCTTAGTTATAGTTTACTGTTATGTAACACAGTGACTGACACAAAGATGGCATTCCCCAAAAGAGAGAGAAAAACACAACTTTGCTCAATCGACCTCCTGTACGAATTAAATCTGTATACAACTCAAGTCAAACAAACATGCAGTTCTGTGTTAGGTGCTGGAATTACAGAACAGTTGGCTCCTGTCTCCTTCTACTCTGCATTGTGATAACTTTGTATCAAAGGTCTGCAAAACTCAGATGATTCTGTCTTAAGGGTGGGAGAAGGTAAAGGAAAACCGAAATAGGTGACAATTTGAAATGAGTTAAAACAACCTCTGAATAGCAGGTTATACTCACAATATTATAAGATACTCTAGCATTGTCAGTTGTTCCTAATATTTTATTAGTGTCCCAAAACACCTGTGTCACTAGTATCTCAAAATTTTATCAATTATTGTTGTTCTACTTTCAAACAGTTCTCATATGAATCTAACTACTCAGATAAATAAAAAAAATAAGGTTTAAGGAAAGGATTGCGTATGAAATAGTTTATTTATAAACACGACTTGCTTAGACAACACTTTTTAAGCCTAACTAATAGTATCCACATTTAAATTATTAAAAAGCTACTCTAGACTTATTTTTTTTTAATGGACTAGATTCAAGAGTCTTTGGTATACTCATATTTCTTGACAAATTCAAAACATTCTGTTAGCAAAAGACAAACAAGTAAAAGCATCCAAACACATTTTTTTTAAGATTTTGTTGGATACTTGTTATTTCCTTGATATATATCTTATCACCGTTATATTGAAACTGGAATTTTAACAAAACTGGTGATAAATATAAAATGGAAAAGAATAGTCTTTATGAAAATGGCTCTAGCACCATTTCTCCCAGGGCTCAAATCTATGTACAATTAAAGCACAATAAACTACAGGAAAAGAAATGTTAATGGTCATTTTATACCAACATTAGTATTTTAGCATATTTTAAAACGTATTTTAAAAAACATATTTTACGATGAGCATCGGGTGTTATATGCAACTAATGAATCATCGAACACTACATCAAAAACTAATGATGTACTGTATGTTGGCTAACTGAATTTAAATAAAAATATAAAAAATAAAAATTAAAAAAAACAAAACAAAACATATTTTAAATAAATTGACATGGAATAATTTTTAAGACATATTCTTTCATCTTCAAAAGCAAAAGCCAGACCAACAATATATTTAGCAGAATATTTAAGGGGGAAACCTTTAAAAGTCAATTTATGAGGCACCTGGGTAGCGGCTCAGTGGGTTAAGCATCCTTTGGCTCAGGTCTCTCAAGGTCCTGGCACAGCGTGTAGTCAGGCTCAGCAGGGAGTCTGCTTGTCTTTCTGCCCCTCCCCCACTCGTGTGGGCACTCTCTCTCTCAAATAAAATCTTTTTAAAAAAATAAAATAAGGGCGCCTGGGTGGCTCAGTTGGTTAAGCAACTGCCTTTGGCTCAGGTCATGATCCTGGAGTCCCGGGATCGAGTCCCGGGATCGAGTCCTGCATCGGGCTCCCTGCTCAGCAGGGAGTCTGCTTCTCCCTCTGACCCTCTTCCCTCTCGTGCTTTCTATCTCTCATTCTCTCTCTCTCAAATAAATAAATAAAATCTTTAAAAAAATAAAATAAAATAAAATAAGGGGCGCCTGGGTGGCTCAGTCATTAAGCATCTGCCTTCAGCTCAGGTCAGGATCCCAGGGTCCTGGGATCGACCCCCGCATTGGGCTCCCTGCTCATTAGGAAGCCTGCGCTTCTCCCTCTCCCACTCTCTCCGCTTGCGTTCCCTCTCTCGCTGTCTCTGTCAAATAAATAAAATCTTAAAAAAATAAAATTTATATGTGTATCTATTTATGTTTATAAATATACTCAAAAAGTCTTAGAAGGATATTTGCCTCTGGAGAAGGGACAGGATGTGGGAAATGTGGTCAATACGGACATAGCGCTTTATCTTACTTATTGTTAGAGATTTTTAGGATGAACAGATTAGTAACTTTTTTTAAAATTTTAGTTCTTGTTCTCTTTTCTGTCTTAAAAGATGGCCAATGAAAAACTAAGAAGCCAGACACTAAGAAAAGGCCGGAGGCCAACTGGACTGCTATCAGGATCAGGACCCAGAAGCCGAACTCGTAAGTCCTAGAAGGCTAATGGGCTCGGAAGCCTGCCTGTAGTTGCACGCCCCTTCTCGCCAGAGGCTTTGGCAGAGATTTCTAACCTCTAAGGTTCTCCAGACATGTACTAGTATATACACTACACCCCTAAATCCAAAGTGGGAAGATTCTTCCTACTGCACAGCACTAACTCCTGGGGATAAGAAAGAAGATACCAGAACAGTTAAAATGGTCATCCTCTGAAAACAAGGCCTCATGGGATGCTGAGATGTAAGATAATGGAGTACAATCTAGAAGCTCCACTGGAATGGTTCTGCTATTAATCCCTAGCTACCACAGAGGAGAATATGTGGTTTTCTGGAAGCAGCTGAGCAGTGGCTCCTTGAGACAGGCCCACGAACTGGACCAGTAACTACTATGACTGAAAGTTCTGGTGTACAAAATTCAAACCACTTCAATGATCCATGCTCCTAAGTATCAAAGAAGTGAGCTCTTCAATGTAGAGAAAAAGAAGTAAAATGTCAACATCAGACAAATCAGAAAAGTATATACAGACAAATTCCACTAAAATCCACAGCTAGTTTCTGTATCCTCTCAGAAATATAATTTACCATCTTTGCAAAGAACTCAAATTACAATCAAGTAGAGAAGTGTGTTTTCTTCCCAAGTCTAATAAAGCTGCCTCTTACAAATCTATTCAGTTGCAAGGACAACCCCATATTAAAGGATAGATATTTTCCAGGGTGCCTGGGTGGCTCAGTCGTTAAGCGTCTGCCTTCGGCTCAGGTCATGATCCCAGGGTCCTGGGATCGAGCCCCACATCGGGCTCCCTCCTCGGCGGGAAGCCTGTTCTCCCCCTCCCACTCCCCCTGCTTGTGTTCCTGCTCTCGCTGTGTCTGTCAAATAAATAAAGTCTTAAAAAAAAAAAAAAAAGATATTTTCCAGAAAACAGCTTGCTCAATTTAAAGTAGAGTATGTGGGGGTGCCTGGGTGGCTCAGATGGTTAAGCATCTGCCTTTGGCTTGGGTCATGATCTCCAGGTCCTGGGATGGAGCCCCGCATCAGCTCCCTGCTCAGTGGAGAGTCTGCTTCTCTCTCTCTCTCTCTCTCTCTCCCTCTGTCCCTCCCCACCGCTCATTCTCTCTCTCTCAAATAAATAAATAAAATCCTTTAAAAAAAAAAAGTAGAATATGTGTTAGGACGCCTGGGTGGCTTGGTCTGTTAGTGTCAGACTCTTGGTTTTGGCTCCAGTCTGATCTCACGGTTGCAGGATCGAGCCCCGCCGCAGGCTTTCTGCTCAGTGTGGAGTCCGCTTCGGATTCTTTCTCCCTCTCCCTCTGCCCCTTTCCGCTTGTGCGCTCTCTCTCTCTCTCAAATAAATAAATAAATAAATAAATAAATAAATAAATCTTTTTTAAAAAGTAGAATATGTGTCAGCATTTCTGTTTGCTATTCTAAAGGCACTGTTTTAATAGTCTAATTATGAATACCATATTAAATCTCAACTAGAAGAGGCTTACCAAATGTTATTCAAAGGAAATCAAGTAAGGCATCACATCATCATTTTTCAGTTTATTTTTTAAATGTATAAATATGGAGTTTTAGTCTCCAGTTAGGACATGTAAGTATTTTAATAGTCTGTTTTCCACGAAGGGCCTTATTTCAACTTGATTACTCACTCATGTTCGGCCACATCAGGTAGATAAGCAGCATTCTCTTGGGATGGGTGGGCCATAAAAACAACATCAAGATTTTTAAAAGCCCCTGCTTCAATTAAATCAATTTTGCCACCACCATCTTCTTCTGCAGGGGTTCCCAGGACAATTACCTAGAAGGAGATACCCGTGTCAGAGCAAAACAACAACAAAAAATCCTCGGAGGAAAATATCAAACAGGTTCCCTTGCATATGTATTCACAACCTCCATTAAAGTCCTTAAACTATGTGGAGAGAGGTTTTGTTCTCTGACACTTCAATAATGCAGGGGGCATAAACCTATGGTGCTAAATTAACCACAAATTTTAATTACATTATTATACCAATTCGGTGACACATATGCACTAAAGCTACAACAGGAAACTTCATTTTGTAACTCAATTTTATATAATTAATGGCAGAGATGAAAAAAGGATAAATTCTATCTACTGAGCTCCTCCAAATTCCTTAGGACTTGTTTCTTAAAGCTTCTTCTTGCCTAAGGCTTTTAGTAACGTATATCACTACTCATTAGCACTTTACTGGTCAAGAGCTTTCCAGTTACTTACTAGTTATCCCCACAACAACCCTGTGAGGTAGGTGAGCCATGTGTGTCATCATTTCAGGGATGGTGGTTTGGAGGCCAGGAGTGAAGTGACAGGACACAGACCAAGTCTCTAGGCAGAGCAGGATCAGATGTCCTGATCCTCAGGCCTGAACTCTGGTTCCTTACTGAGATACCTCATTAGAAGGTCTTAACTCATTAAACTTTTAGGAAGAGCATTAAATAAACCTTAACGCCACAGTTAGAAACAGCCAACTATTACACAAACTTACTAATTCGATTCCATCAGTTCAACCAGGCAGACTTACTGGTCACCAAACACCTAATTAAACAAGAGAGAACTTTACAGAATATACATTTTACTTTGATATTTAAGCTTAACTTCTTCAAACAATTTTTAAAAACAAAGAAAAATGATCTATAAACAACCAATACACTTTCAAGATCATGTATAGGAATACAATGAAACAGGTTGGGAAAAGGCTTGGCTCGTTAAGGGAATCAACATAAATTCCATTTTCAGAGAGGAAAGATAACCTTGCTAAAACTATGCAGTACCCTTCAAAAGTGTACATTTCCCGAAGTGGAACCTTCTTTGGAAGTCTAGAAACCACTCAAACTCTTAAATTAACCTACTTTTTACTCTGAGCCCTTGCCTCCTTAAATCTGATGACTTCTCAAGTTAAATTTTGCTGATTTCCCTGAATCTTTCATAAACTTGGCTAAAGTTAAGTATCTCCCGTGTTTCGTGCAATGGCAAAGGACACCACCCCCCAACAAAACAAAAACCTACCCAGATGCAAAATCAAGCCCCCAGAGCAGAAAAGAGAAGGCAGCTAAAAGAGACTAAGCCACAGAAGATGTAACTGTTAAAAGAAAAGTTACTGACATTGGAAAAAAATGGGCTACAGAACATGAAAAGAAAACCTCGGTCTTGCCCTTAAGCCGAATGGAGACGAATGTATTTTAGTTCACAGAACGAAGGATATACCATCTGAAAAAACACAGCAACACGAGATTACACTTGCCCTATAACAAACATAAACTGCATTTCCCCCACTTAAAGAAGGAGAAAGTTCTTAAAATCATGAAATATTAAAATTTAAGGATGAACTCACCTATGCAGTAAATGTTCATTCACTTCCCCACTTTTTGTGGGGAGGTTTGGTAGTTCTAATGACTGAAAATTTCCTATCCAAATACCAATGATTCGAATCACAACAGCTCCTATGACTGCCACAAACAAAAGAGGTTTTGGAGCCTAGTAACGAAGGACTATAGGTTTCCCTACAATAACTACTTCTTCCAGAGATTGCACAACCTTGTCAGCAAATTGCGGTTACCTCTGTTACCAAAAATAAATCACAGCGAAAACCAGGCTCGGTTCTAAGTTCTTTGCTTAGGGAGAGTCTACTCAATCGTTTACAACTACGTAAGAGAAAACAAAAAATCTGAAAAATGTCGCTGGGCCGGCAACTCGTGAACTACAGACTTTTATCCAGGGGTTCTGCCTTCTGGCAAAAGCGAGGCCGGGACCCCGAGGGGACGGACGCGCACGGGAAGCGCCGGGTCCTGCGATCCCCGGGTGCGGCCCGGCCTGGGCAGGCGATGGAAGTCCCGAGCCAGGGCCCCACCTCACCTTCACCGGCGGAGGCGGCCCGGGGAGGCTCTCCAGGGCCCCCTTCACGCCCAGCGCGGCCGCCGCCCCGACCTCGGCGATCAGGTTGTGGCCGCAGGCGTGCCCGATGCCCGGCAGCGCGTCGTACTCGCAGAGGAAGCCCAGCTGCAGGGGGCGCGGCGCCGCGCCGACCCCCGGCGGCCCCCACTCGGCGCGAAAGGCCGTGTCCAGGTGATAGTGCGGCTGCACGGACCACGAGGCGGCCGGAGGCTCGCACTCGAAGAAGCGTGTCAGCACGCCGTGGGCCCGGTGCTCCTCGTAGGCCAGCTCGGGCTCGCTCCAGATCGCGCGGCTCAGGGCCCCCAGGCGCTCGGCCGCCTTGTCAATGCGCTCCGCGGCGCGCAGCTTCCGCAGCTCCAGCTCGGAGACGCCGGCACAGGCGCCCCCCTCCACCGGCCGCTCCTCTCCGGGTCTCATCGTGCCCACAGCCGGTGACCTGCCAGCACTCCGCTAGACTGCCCCCTCGGCTGCTCCCTCCTAGCTGCCCACCGCTTCCGTGCACGCTCCGGCGTTCACGAGCACCCGCCCGGCCCCCAGAGGTTGGCTCCGCGGCTCCCGGGAGCACCGCCCCGAGCCCCGGGGCCCCGCCTCCAGCTCCTCGCCGGGTACAGGGTTAGCCCCTTCTGCTCCGGGCTAGTGCTCCGGTCCGCGGGAGGAGGGGGGGTGGGGGAGGGGAAGCTGGCAAGCGCCCCCAGGGGAGAGCGCTGGGAAGTAGAGGTGTTGAGGGACTCGTCTCTCTTCCGTCTCCTTGGCTGTGCTTACAACTGAATTATGCTTTAAGGTCATTATTACTTTTCTGCTGTTGCTTGTTTCCCACAGCAAGAGAATGAGGACGGTTTTCTTGGTTAATTGGCATCAGACACAGACCAAGTGGAACATAGTCCTTGAAAAACGCCACTCTCCTTTCTAGAATAGTAATAAAAAAATTATACAAGGTTTTTAGTTCATAAAACTAGATGTCAGTATAAAAATGCTATACAAAGAACAGTGGTCTATAGACTCCATATTCTTTTTTTAAATTTTATTATGTTATGTTAATCACCATACATTACATCATTAGTTTTTGATGTAGTGTTCCGTGATTCATTGTTTGCGTATAACATCCAGTGCTCCATGCAGAACGTGCCCTCTGTAATACCCATCACCAGGCTAACCCATCCTCCCACCCCCCTCCCCTCTAGAACCCTCAGTTTGTTTCTCAGAGTCCATAGTCTCTCATGGTTCGTCTCCCCCTCTGATTTCCCCCTCTTCATTTTTCCCTTCCTGCTATCTTCTTTTTTTTTTTAAACATATAATGTATTATTTTTTTTCAGTGCTGCCTTCACTGTCTTCTCCATGAGGTTGCTGTATAATCTAAAAGCTGCAACTACTCTATATTTCTCTTTAGAGTGACACTAATGTCTAGAACAGCACCTGGAATATAGTAAGGCCTGGATATGTATTAGCTATTAGCTATCATAGTCTATCTGAGTGGAGTAGAACTAAGAATTTAAAATGAGGGTTTTTTTGGGGGGCCCCTGGGTGGCTCAGATTGTTAAGCGTCTGCCTTCGGCTCAGGTCATGGTCTCAGGGTCCTGGGATCGAGCCCTGCATCAAGCCTGCTTCTCCCTCTCCCACTCCCCCTGCTTGTGTTCTCTCCCTCGCTGTGTCTCTCTCTGTCAAATAAATAAATAAATAAATAAAATAAATAAAATGAGGGGTTTTTTTTAAAGCCTAAACTAAAAAGTAATAAAAAGATTTATGGTTGTAAATATTCGTACCATTTTGTTGACTTGGGTGTTTGATTTGAATAGTAACAGCTATGAAACAGAACATATGACCACTTTCATTTGTAACTAATTGATGCTGAACTCAAGTAACATGATGTGTGCAGCTGCTGTGCACAATATAACTGGGTTTTAAATTACCCAGTGAAGAAATTCAAGATGCCATACTCTTGTTTTCCTCCAGAATGAAGCACAAAGTCTGAAGAAAAAAAAAAAACTTTTGTTGATGATATTCTAAGGTGTTTCACATAGTGAAAGCTTCCCTCAGCTCAGCTTCCTTCCCTTAATTTGTCACAATTAGGTTAAATGGGACATAATATATTCAAATAATTAGAGAAATGTATTTTTAAAAATTTAATCTCTTTTAGAGAAATGTACTTTTCGAAAATAAGTCTAAGGGAAGCTGCATACATGAAGACTCTCTACTACTGTTGTCACTATTTCATATGCCAACAATACCAGAGTAAATGTCATATTTGAACTCGGAAAATACTGTCATTCTCCTTAACACCCTAACTAAATCTCAACCCTGAAGGTAACAAATGTGGTATTAAATTCCTGGACCCCCTTATCTATACTTAGCAAATCAGACCCTGGTATACTTCTGACAAAAATCCCACCTTTATCTATGAAATACAATATTATTGCTTTATGTGAGCAAAACCAATAGGGGACATTTGTAGAACACTTATCCCGTGGTATGCACTTAACATGTGCTGAGTGCTTTCCATGTATTAACTTTTTTTTTTTAAGATTTTATTTATTTATTCATGAGAGACAGAGAGAGAAGCAAAAGGAGAAGCAGGCTCCCCACTGAGCAGGGAACCCGATGCGGGACTCGATCCCAGGATCCTGGGATCATGACCTGAGCCGAAGGCAGGCGCTTAACCATCTGAGCCACCCAGGCGCCCGATGTATTAACTTATTTAATCCTCATGACAACCTACGAGGTTGTTAATGTCATTATTTATCTTTATAGATGCAGTGTCCAAGATGACTGCATCTATAAAGCTAGTAAATAGTGGACCCAGGATGGGACAGAAGCCAGTCTGGCTCCCAGTGATCTGCTTTCAGCCACCATGCTTTATTGTTTATGTAAGCAGACATCCAAATTCATAAATGCATCTGTAGCTTGTCTATTTACATCAGAACCCATTAAAAATCACTTATTTTGAATAAATATACTGTAGCAACTCTGCCTGTTGACATAAGTAGAACCCATGTTTGCTCGTTCTTACCAGACAGCTATAAACAGCAATAGAAGAGGCATACATATAAATTCTAAATAGAAGCTATTTATATGGCTTGTCATGAATTAACAAAGCTGTCACTTGAGGCAGAGGAAAGATAGATTCATTTCCAGTTCTGTTCCGTTTGTGTGCACACACATGCTGTATATGTTGGATTTCCTTTGTGGGCACCCTATATTTCTTGCTCATGGTGCTTTGTACCCTTTTGTTGAATAAATGATGATAATTTATTGAATGTGTATCTTCCCCAGTAGTGCTGGAGGGAAAAGGAATAGAAGGTGCTAAAATGATTTCATCCATAGAGAGAGTGCAGATATTTTACCAGAAAATAAATAAAACTTAGAGTAAAAACTTAAAAAATATTTTTAAAAAAGGAATTAGTTCCAAAAGTGCATAGGATTCTTGCCGACTATCTTTTCATTTTAACAATATTTGGAATCTGAACATTCTTCTCTGGAACCAAACTGTGGCCCTGGGTGATTTGGGGCTACCACTAGCAGTATGCCGAGTAAGCAAACTACAGTGCTGCTCTAGGATGTTCGTTGTTCACAACATTGCCCTAACCCCCTCCCCGTGCTCCCCCACCTCAAATACTTATAGTCATCTCCAGAGGACTCTCTAGTTGATATAAACATGCAACTCGAACTAGACAGCATATTAAGAAATCACTTCTGGGCTAAGATGTTCGAAAAACTGGCTGTCATTTTGGCAGAAAGCAGTGAGCTAAGAATTCCACAGAAAGGTGAATTTTGATTGAAGGTGAAGGAACCCAGAGGAATCGTGTACACGTCGTTAAAGAAATAAACCTTTATCCAGACAATGGGTAACTACTGGATGTTATGAAGCAGCGGGGAGTTAAAACCGGATTTTTGTTCTGGAAGAATAATTGATGACCACATGGAAGGTAAATTGGAAACCGACTTTGGTCTGAGACAAGCTAACCAGTTCCTGCGAAGTCCCAGGATTCCAGAAACATTCCACAGGCAGAAGTGACAGTACTTGGGGCCTGATTGAATGTGTTTGGGGGAGGGGGGGCATGATAGAGAGAAGGAAGAAAGATGACTGAGGTCTGTAGTGTGAACAGGTATGTGGATGGTGAAGTCATTAAACAAAATAGGGGCAATGTGAGCATGAGGGGCGAGCTGATGGATATGGGTTAGACAAGTCAAGAGGAGGTGGAAGCCCCCACTCAAGGGACCAGCAATAGCACTAAGGAAAGTGCATTTCTGTCTATCTACTATGTGTAATAGTTATATCCAGAGGAGAATTAAACTATCCAGGGAGTGAGTGACTAGGGAGGGAAAAAATGAAGCTGAGGAAGAAACTCTGGAAAACAAAAACAAAGGGAAGAAGCAAAAATGTCTGACAGAATCTTGCTTCTGTTGGGTAAGGCTCTATTACAACTTGTTTTTAAGTTCTGTATAGATTTCTTCAAATGGCCCATGAGGTGAAGGCAGCTATTTCAGAGCCCAGAATGTCCTGGTACACAGTTATTTGAGGCTCCCTTTGGCTTCCATCTCTCCTGGCAGTGAGATTAGCTGCTCTGCTGACCATGACCGCTCCTGGAAATGAGAACAGTGAGGTTCTCAGAGGAGGCTTCTCCTTCGCCCCGATTCCCTAGGGCTTATGTACTCCAACACTGGGAGACGTGGCCTGGCTTGTACTGGATGAGAAGACTTCTTTCCTAAGGTTACGGTGCAGAAAAAGGGAGAGAATTTTTTTTTAAAGATTTTATTTATTTGAGAGAGAGAGCATAAGAGGGGGGAGGCTCAGAGGGAGAAGCAGACTCCCTAGTGATGCAGGACTCGATCCTGGGACTCCGGGATCATGACCTGAGCCGATGGCGGTCGCTTAACCAACTGAGCCATCCAGGCACCCCAAATTTTTATTGCTCCCCTACCCTCATTGGTAAAACATGTAGAGCTTGGACCCAACCCAGTGCTTGAGGGTCCTTCTCGAGATTCCTCTCTCAAGCCATGTGTGTGGCTTGGCCATTTTAATAATTACTTATGTTAAAGGTTCACTTCTCAAACTTCTTGGTCATTTTGGTGTTCATTATTTTAAAGTCACTAGCAGGAATGGATGGTGAAGATGGTCATAGGGTGCTTAAAATACTCAAGATGTTTTCTAAAAGATGGGGTAATGAAGAGTCATTAAAAATTAAAAAATGTGTGGTCTAATATTAATAAATAACATCTAGCAATTGGAGGCATGCTGGTAGATGAAGCAGGAAGCAAACTAAACATTTCCAATAAAACTGATTAAGAAAAAAACAATTACAGGGTGCCTGGGTGGCTCAGATGGTTGAGCGTCTGCCTTCGGCTCAGGTCATGATCCCGGGGTCCTGGGATCGAGTCCTGCATCGGGCTCCCTGCTCCTTGGGAGCCTGCTTCTCCCTCAGCCTCTCTCTCTCTCTCTCTCTGTCTGTCTCTCATGAATAAATAAATAAAATCTTTAAAA